ATTTGACTTCACCGTAAAGATACAAACAAGATAACGTCATGTTGAGGTTACAGTTATTCAAAATAACTCATAAATTGTCGACAGAATCGAGATCCATCGTTATGAATTTAGATTCAACTAGTTATATTAGAATAAGAGTTGAACATGATAATCCATAAATATACAAACTAAAATAACTTTTCTATTAATCAACAGTTAACAACAAACTTAGATTTGGTAACACTGTTTAAAGATATAGTAACTAATCATCAATTTTTTCTCAGTTTTGAACCCTTTCTTGATCCTTGTTTGACACTAACAAATTCATTGAATCTCGATTCACTGAAGTAGTGAATCGAGATTCACTGAAGATTCACTGAAGTGAATCTCGATTCACTTCACTTCAAATAGTCACTGATGCGAAAGAAACTTCATCCCTTCGTATTCATTGTTTCACAGGCATGTCTCTTCATAAAATAAGAGCAACAAACAACCAATGAATCCAGATTCACTGGAGTGAATCCAGATTCACTGGAGTGAATCCAGATTCACACTGGAGTGAATCCAGATTCACTCCAGCGAATCTAGTTTCACTCCAGCGAATCCAGTTTCACTTCAGTAGCAGCACAACAGCACAGCAGCAGCAACACAGCACAACAAGACCACCAACTTGTGAACAACAATTAAATAAATATTAACTCTAACTTGTGAACAATAATTAAATAAATATTAACTATATATGGCTCTCGATTCACTCCAATGAATCAAGATTCACTGTAGTGAATCAAGATTCACTGAATTGAATCTAGATTCACTGGACTGAAACTCGTTATCAAACAATAGCAAAGCTGCAAAAATAAAAAACAAAAAGAATAAGAATCGTCGTGAACAAAAATAAACAAACAAGACAGGAATTTTTCTTTTTTTTAAGAGAAGATTTTGGCGGTCGAGGAGCTTCGTCGACGGCGTCGAGGGGCTATAACGTCATCCCACTAATTATAATACATAACACATATCAAATCATTTAATGCCACTATAGTATAACAACAAATTAGTACCTCAATTGCTATAGCTTTAGCACGAATTTTTTTACAACTAGGTCGGATCATGACTGATCCACACAGAGACAAAAAGAGCAATTATGATTGCTCCCCTTATGCATCGTGTAGGTATGTTGGTAATATTAAATAGTGATGCTAAGATGGAGATTAGATAAAGGTAAAACCTAGATTTGTTTATCTACCTTTCCTCCCAGGTACGCACCTAATGCCCTCTCGAAGTCGATGCTTCGGTCTTCTCCTTCTCTTTTCTTTTCTTTTTTTTGGTGCGGCGAGACAGTGACGGGAAAACAAAAAACAAAAAGAACAGACGACAAAGAGGTATGTTGGGGTATGGTTTTAGATATTTAAGATGTAATTTACTGATAGAACCCTTTTAACATTTTAAAAATTCTTTTACTTATATATATATATAGAGAGAGAGAGAGAGAGAGAGAGAGAGAGATTAATGGGTATCCTTGTCATAGGAGGGGATTTCCTCCTTGACGCCTCTAAAATCAAATGATTGAGCGACATTGTGGATGATCCGCTCCGTTGAACTTGATCTACATATTCTAAAACCCCAACACACCATATTTTTTTTATTTTTGGATGACTTCCTTTTGAGTTGCGTTTGAATATCTTTTAGCTTTTTTTAATGCCTACATTCCCACCAATTCACACACACACACACACATATATATATATATATAAATATAATTTCATATACATATATATAGACTGTAGGGCTGGTTATCATGGATATGGAATTAATTCGGAGTAGTCGGTACTGTGTACTTTAGCAAATGATGTTCGCAATAATGTTGGAAAGAAGTGATCATTTAGATCCCAAAAATTTGACATTTTGAAGAAGAGTAAGATTACATTTGCCTGTATAGCACAATTTTTTAAGATAAAATGTATGGTAAAAAATTACGAATAAAGGCGATATTGCTCCTTACAAATATGATAGTGCACATCATGTTAGAAAGTCCCACACAGTGTGAAGCATTTTTAGTCTTGCAAGTAGAGTTAAGAGCGGCACTACAATAATTTCAGTGCTCCCCTCAACTATATATTGAGATCACCCCCACATGGTGCGGGTTCTAATGAGATCCATATTTTCACATTGAGTTAACTTGCTCAGGCACCCACAAACGATCGCCGCACAAATTTACTTGAGCAGTCACACACAAAACGATCGTCATAGGGCGATGATCCGTTGTCACCCTCAAAATTTCGAGACAATCTCATGAGGATCAGTGTGATGGAGAATCGCTGGGTTTGATTGTGTCCGCGAGTTTTATTTATGTATATAGACTTTTAACTTCACTTTCTAACACACGTAATAGCTTGGGCTTTCTTTGGTTACTTTAACTGATAATTGATGCTCCCGTAAGCCAAACAAGAATTGATGAGGCATTGCTTACTCAATCGACGCCCGTCGAGTTTAATTATGTATCAATATATGGTACTAAAAATATTGTCATCAGAGCATTTGTAAGTAACTTGAGAACTACTAACGTAACGATTTTTTGTTCAAAAAGTTGGTTCCTCTTCTCTTACCTCTCGAATTCCAAATTCATGGTCGGCTGATTTGTTATTTCATCGGTGGTTGGGTGACAATTGGTTATTCATATTACCAAATAGGATCCTCTATAATAAATCAATTAGACAAATATTAAAGCATGAATTGAGTGGGGCAGGAATCAAAATCATGCCCCCCTCGCCCCTCCACGATAATAAACAACTATTTGCTGACTAATTTTGTTTTCCTTGAATTAGTGTTAATTAAGTACTGTAGTTTTCTTATTCGGAATATTGTTTTGGATGCCTATGTGACTAGTACGACGTTGCTTTACCTGGATCAATTTGAGTACGAATAATATGAGATCCCTAGATGGTGCTAAACCTTGTTATCATCCCAGAGTAAAGAAACCTGCTTAACACACATCCAATTAATTCCTAGTTTTGCAAAAAATAAAAATAAATAAATAAATAAATACATAAAGGCAAAATCCCTCTACATAGAAGAGGTAAATGCCTCCTTTGAACATTGGAAGTGTGGACCTAAAAAATTGTTCTGATGATAATTCAAGCAAGGGTCTCTAAATCTAAGCTTCGTTTGGGTGAAAAACAATAGAGATAGAAGTTCTATAGCTGAGAATTGATCATTCATTATTCTTCAATTGAATGTTGTCAGTCGGAAAATTCTTAGATTACTGGTCACAATGTCACCATTCTATATGAGCTAGCTTACAAGGGAATGTTATATTTTGTAGCTAACATCTCTGATCGTTTCTTAATTAAAAGGGTTTTTCTAATGGTTGCAGATGGACACTCGTTAGAGGATGAGAGAGATAGAGAGAAGAGGGGTAAGGCGAGAAATTACTACAAATCAGGAGGGGCCCGATTCATGTTCATTTCTCTCTATCTCTCTCATCCTCTAACGAGTGCCGATGAGCGTCCATTAGAAAAATCATTGTGCATTAACATTGATATTTTTCGATATAAGTCATGGCCTGTATGATGCCAGATTAACATATGTAATCCATTTGGTGAGAAAACTCCCTTCAAACCTTTGCACGTACAATTAATTAGCAGGGAAGAGAATGCATATCCAAGTTGTTCTTATTTTTTGTCAATATAATTTATAGCTAAGTTGATGCGGTAATGTTGTTGAAAATGAGATGTTCCGTTGAGAAGTTGGTTTCTAGGAGAGCACAGGACTTTTGCTCTTGTGTTTTTAACGATCAAGGCTCACAGCTACAGCAGCGGGAGTGTTAAGAGTCCCTTTTAAAGATCCCCTCAGTGCTGAAGTATCATGATCAGATTTATAGGTTACAACTGTTGACGCTTTTTAGTGAAATAAACCGGAGGATGGTTGGACGAGCTTGATCCTTGCTGCACATCTGCTCGCTTTTAGGAATGAGGATGGATTTGAGGCAGGCTCGATCCAAATTCCCACAGGTTTTCTTGAACGGTTTTAAGCCCTCCTAATATTATGATGGCTCTCGTGGTATAAATAATCAAAGATTCACATGGGTTTGTAGGTCTGCCAACCATTTTCCTACCTCTACACGGGTATTATATAACCTCGTGTAAACACGTAGTCGCGTTGAATCTCTTGTGTCATCATCCAATTGCGTCCCGACTTGTCCCTCCCGTTTTCATACGTCCAATCCAATTCAATTCACCGCACCCCCTGCCCTACACCTACACGGGTCAACGCGCCCAATCCAATCCGCAAAATATGAACTCGACCAGCATCGTCGCTCTTCAAGCATGGCCTCCCCAATTCTCCTCCTCCTCCTCCTCTTCTTTCTCCTCCCCCTCTCCTCCTCGGGCCCGGTCTCTAACGAGTTCCTTCACCCAAACGCCCACCTTTACCTCTTCCCACTTCGTCGACAGCCCTTTCCGGCCGCCTTCCTCATCCTCCCCCAACACCACCTTCTCCTTCTCTTCTTACAACCCGGCCGCAGCAGCCCGCTTACTACCTCTACATCGTCCACGCCGATCAAACACCCCGGTCTTGGTCAGCCAACCCAACTCCCCCGCCCTCCTCCCGCCGTCCTCAAACCCTCATCCTCCTCCTCCATCCTCTCATCTCCCGTCCCCCAACGCACCCCGCTGGTCCACCCTCCCTTCCTCTCCCATCCGCTCACTCCGCCTTCTCGACTCCGGCAACCTCCTCCTCCTCGACTCCGCAACTCCACCCTCTGGCAATCCTTCGACCACCCCACCGACACCCTCCTCCCCGGGCAGCGCCTCTCGCTCGGGCAGCTCCCCGCTGAGGAGCCCCGCGTCCGACACCGACCTCTCTGACGGCCGGGTACGACCTCACCTCGCCCGCTCCGACGCGGTGCTGCGCTGGAGGGGCGCGCCAGCAGTACTGGGGCCTGTCCTCCGACCCGCGGTCGTTCAAGAACTCCGACGGCCAGGCTGCGTATCTCGAGGTGAATGGTACCGGGGTGTACCTCCTTGATGGCGGAGCAACAGCAGTCTGTTCCAGGTGGTGTTGCCCGTGACGGGCGGGTTCAGGGCGGGAAGATGGATGCCAACGGCAAGTTTCGGGTCGTTACTTACGGATCGCGCGCGGGACTTACCGCACGATTTGTAGCTCCGAGCGACTCCCTGCGGGCTGCCGTCCTCCTGTGGTAGCTTGATGCTCTGTTCTTCGAATGTGTCGACTTGTAAGTGCCCTGTTTTCTTTTCGCCTGCCAAAGCAGCGCCTGCTTCCGGCGGGATGATTGGGTGCCGTGCCTCGCCTCGCCTTCCTCGTGTGCCCGATCTAATATCTCGTACTTGAGCTTGGAGAGCGGGATTAGTTATTTTGCGAACAATTTTGCCGCGCCTTTGGATGGTGATGAGTTCGATTCGTGCCGGGACACCTGCTCGAATAATTGTTCTTGCCTTGCTTTCTTCTATAAGAATTCCTCAAAGGCTTGTTATCTGATTCACGACCAGATCGGTTCTTTGATTCAGGGGTCTTCTAAGAGTGCAATTGGGTACGTCAAAACGATTAGGACGTCTACTTCTTCTTCGTCCCCGGCACCAAGTTCTACAGGCAAATCGTCTTCCACAAACATTATCCCGATTCTATTGCCCTTAGTAGCTACATCTCTCCTCGTGATTGTTCTTGCCTTCGTGGGTTTCCAATGGTGGAGAAGAAAAGGCAAGAAGGAAGGACCAAGAGTGAGATTCAAATCGCCCATGAGGGAAATCAAGCTCGGCCATCGAAGTTCCTCTGGAGTAGATGAGTTCAGTGACAGTGAAGAGATCTCAATCCCAGGGCTCCCGACTCGATTCTCCAGTGATGAGCTAGAATTGGCCACCAACGCGTTTCAGACTTTAATCGGGTCTGGTGGGTTTGGATCCGTTTACAAAGGCGAGCTCCCGGATGGGAGCCTCATCGCCGTGAAGAAGATTACTAACATTGGGTTACAGGGGAAGAGGGAGTTTTGTACAGAGATTGCGGTAATTGGCAATATTCATCATGTTAATTTGGTTAAGCTTCGGGGTTTTTGTGTTCAGGGCTCGAACAGGATGCTGGTTTATGAGTATATGAACATGGGATCCTTGGACAGGCCATTGTTTGGACATGGTCCTGTGCTAGAATGGCAGGTAAAACTCACGTAATTCCTGATTTTTTTAAAGATTCATTAATGAGAATTGTTCACGAAGCTACAATTTATTCATAGACTAGCTACCTGATAATGTTGGTACTGTTTTGGCACTGTCAATCTTGATGCTTCATTTGAATTTGGCATGGTTATTTTCATGTTCTCGCTCAAGGTTGTACTGCCGTTCACTGATTGCAAATTCCGGCATTAAAGTTTCAATTGAATTAATTACAGGGGTGCACAAAAATATCTGTATTCGAGAAATTACCTGTATCCGTATCATTAGGATGTAGATATGCTTATTAAAATCCATAGCTGATAGGATATGATAACGGATATGGTTATGCAGTGAAATGTTGTATTCCTATCCGAAATATCCGAATATATGTTGGTCATATGGTTTCAACAGTTTTTATCCTTACGCTGATGAATTTGAGGCTAATTCTAATAATCAAGAGATTTAATCTTAGCTTTTTAGATATAATGAACCTATTAATGAACTCTCATGTATCTATTGAGCTATACATTTTTTTATATTATCTATTTTTTCATATTCATTTTTTATCCGCATATATATCCACTTATATATCCGCATGCATATCCGAATACATATCTGATTTTAGCGGATATAGTTATGAGTTTTTTTTACCGAGACATATCCATATTTGTATTCATATTTGAGATTAGTTAGCGGATATGAATATATGATAAATATCATGTCTGGGCCGTATTCTAAGGACGTGCACCCCTAATTAACTGCCAATATGTTATGTCTGTAATTGGTTTTGCATACTATGAATGTTAATTCTTTAACATGCATAAGGACCAAGACATAGACTCACTTGGTGGTATCAATTTATTAAAATCCGCTTTAACTAAGTAGAATTTAAATGTGAATTGCTTTAGTTGTTAAAGCCCACTACACCAAAACTTTAAACTTTTTTGTTTGAGAAATACGGCGAGTCCAGAAAAATCTTTGAACTTATAATCATGGTTAAGTGTTGTAATTTTTTTCTCTAATAGTTACATGGTAATTGCAGCAGATTCCTTGAAATGCAGATTCCTTGAAATTCTGCATCCTATTAATTTTCAGCATGTAGATTTTACACCATTTATACTGCCATTCACCTTATGATCATCTTAGGCAATGCGTATAAATTTGTTTGCACGAGCACGTTCTAACCCTGAAATTGTGATCATTACGACAGGAAAGGCTTGAAATTGCAATAGGCGCAGCTCGAGGGCTTGCATACCTCCATTTTGGTTGTGATCAGAAGATACTCCACTGTGACATCAAACCAGAAAACATCCTTCTTGCCGATCACGGACAAGTAAAAATTGCCGATTTTGGCATGGCAAAGCTCATGACCCCAGAGCAATCTGGCCTCTTCACCACAATGAGAGGCACGCGAGGCTACCTTGCCCCCGAATGGCTAACAAACTCTGCAATCTCAGACAAAACCGACGTCTACAGCTACGGGATGGTCCTGTTGGAGATCGTGAGGGGGCGAAAGAACCGCTGCACTCCGAGCGCTGGGAGCGAGTTCAGCGGTTCAAGCGGGTCGAGCGTGGAGTACTTCCCAATAGTGGCAGTGGAGAGGCACATGGAAGGGAGGTGGTCAGAGCTGGCGGACCCGAGGATGGAGGGGAGAGTGACAGAGAGTGAGGTGTCGAGGGCTGTCAAGGTCGCATTGTGTTGTTTGCATGAGGAGCCATGGATGAGACCGAGCATGGCAGTGGTGGTGGGGATGCTGGAAGGGACGATGGCAGTGTGGGAGCCGAAGGTTGAAGGGCTCAAGTTCTTGAGGGTGTACGGGAGGGGAGGAGGGGAGACAGAGGCGGGTGGTGGGGGTGAGGGTAATTACAGCGGATCAGGGTCCAGCGGCGCGAGCGCGTCATTGCTGACGTTCATATCGTCTCAGGAGGTGTCAGGGCCTCGATAATGGAAAGAAAATAATACATGTCTTACTATCAATTCTAAATCAGTTTGAATTGACAGTGCAATCAAAATTATCATGTCAGTACAGTCGCCCATTTTAAATGTGCTGAATATCCTCGATGAGTTTTTTCAGTCACTTGTTGGAGGGTCTACACATATTGTACGGTTCAAATTCAAAGGGAAGACGGTGGGAAATTAGGAGAGGTTGTTCCTAGCATGTAGGATTCAAGACTGACTATGGTCGAGCTGTTATCTTCGGATGTAAAAAATATTTTTGTTTTAAGGTTGAGATTGAATTTGTTTGTACGTTGGGGTTTTGATTGAACCTGTCAAAGCTTGTAGAGATTAGGTGGATCATTGGGTTAGATATGTATTTAACTGTTTCATGAGTAGCAAAGTCATATATATGTTTTGAAAAAAGGGTGTGAATGACCATATTTATTAATGGTGATTTTTCCGCTTTCGTGATGGTGCGTTTTGAAATGTTACGTACGAGAAATGAATTTCAAGGTTATTTACTACTTATTTGGTTAATTATTCTTGTTATTTTATATTTTATTGTTTCATGAGTAATAAGTCAGTTTTTAGTCAAGACATGAGAAAATACTTCTTGATTAATTGAATGGAAGAGCTTAATTTCCTGTTTATACGCAAGAATTGCACGTTATCTACAATAAGTTTTTACAAGAAGAAACCTGGCAACATTGTAAGTTCTACACTTAATGGTAGATACTTCTTATCAAGTTGCAGATACTTCCATGGGGGGTGTACTTCAATTATTGGTGATTCTTTTTCTGCGCTTAAAATTTATTGTTTATGATTAATGAGCCTCCCCTGTTTCTCTTAACTGCAAGCAGTCTCCCCCTACATTAATAATGAAGCAATTTTGAATAAGTCGTTATAGTCATTAAGTATAGTCTTTTCCTAATTTGAAAATGTCAACGGTTGACAGCTTCTGTATGACACAAATCATCTGTTTCTTACCCACACCTAATCAACATTGAAAACATTAGTAGACTGGAATTTTATGCCATCTTTTCAAAGCACTAACCATCGCAAAGCGATCAAGATGAAGGAATATTAATCTTCTCTAGTTCATCATTGTTTAGGTGTCTGTGCGCTGGCTTCTTCTTTTGAAGAAAACTATGTATAACGTACTCAAGATTTTAATAGCATCCACGCGGATTTACTGCTTGTACGGTGAGGATATTTCCTTGTAGAAGTAAAACTCTATGATATAAATATATCTTCAATCACCTATTATTTTGACGTTCAAAAAGAGAGAGAGAAATAGAGATAAAATGATGGTGAGATTAGAGTCTGAGAGGTTGATTTGGTCGTAATCATTATTGATTTTTAATAGAACCATGACCACATTACACTATGGAGACATAAGTTTTGGATCTGAGATGCTAGGCATGGGAGAAAAGCTTGGGTGGCGGTTGCGGGGGTGTGTGTGGGGTGGCGTGGCGTGGATGTTTGTGGTGTGGGGCGGGCGGTGTTTGAATAGGATTGCCTACCATTCACATAAACACAGTAATATGCAGCAAATAGACAAAATAACAAGCTATCAACGATGATAAATAAAACGTAATCAACGAATAAACAAAAACAAATAGAAACTTAACGAGGACATACAAATTTATAGTGGCTAGGATAAAAGCAGTATCCACTCTTCTTTCTCGTGAAGGGGCTTCCTCATTATGCAAAGAATTCTCATAAATCACAAATCCAACTCAACGAGCTTACAAGAACGCACCCTGGAATCTACCTGAAATCAGTCGTCTAACCTAACTCTCCACAAACAGTAAATATCTAGCCCTACTCTAAACCCTCAATTCTAACCGGATTGAGTACACCATAAAAACAAAACCAGATAACCACAATTAAAGTCAGAAAATATGAAAGCTCTTACAATCTTTTCGTTAAACAAATCGTCCTTTGATGAATCTGAACGTAGCACGATGAACACTACAAGAAATCTGCTATTTAACGACCAAAATTAGTGAATGGACCAGTTGCCCGTCATTAATGTGCATATAATAACGACGGGTTTTAAACCCTTCGTCGAGTGATTACAAATAATAGAGAAATATTATGATATGAGATAACGGTTTTCTAATCCCTTCGTTGATTTGATCCTACTACTGTCGTTATTGAGTCTCCTTAAAAATGAAGGGGTCAATTACCTTCATTGATGAGACTCCTAATCATAATTGAACTAAAATTAACCTATTTCTATTAACAAATCCCATAACCAAACCCGAAGCCCCAACTAAAAACCAAAACCGAATTTTACAAACCCATAAATCCTAATCATCCTCTAACCGCAAAAATAACAATTTAAACCCTAGTTAAAAAAATCCCCCTTCTTATCATCGCCGCCTCCATATCTCGTCGTCCGCTCCCCCACGTCGCCATTGAGATCTCTTGCAGCAGGCAAAATATGCAGTGTATGACTAGCCAAGTGCTCCGCAAGCAAGCCTTTCGTGACGGCTTCGCCTCTCAGCGAGGTTGCGTTGACTGAAAATATGGTGAGGTTGCGTCTCGAGGGCTTCGCCTCTGAGCGAGGAATGTATCTTCGATCGGGAGCGAAGGGATCAGTCCCAATCCTCTCTCCGATGCTTCTCCTCAGATCTGGTATCTTTTTATAATTCTTCGATCTTTCTTTTATTTAGGGTTTGAAGTGGTAGATTCTTGTCTGTAGCTGAGGCTGTTCTTTGATCTACTTGCTCCTTGATCTATTTGGTTGAGCTTGTACTTTGTCGATTATTTTAGAAATTTTTGTTTATATTCAGATGAAATGTTATTTATAGCTTACCGATGTGATTTTTTTCTTCTATTTATGTCATGCTTTTTTTGCGGAATCTGTTCCTTTAAGATTTGCTGAAATTTGATAGAAACTTGAGCTTAGCACGAAATTTCTTACTTCATAGATGATTAACCTGCTGTTCCAATTTATTTGTTTCTTTAACAATAGATTGATTCGTGTGATTTTTCACTCTGCTTTTGTGTGGAATGGTTAGGATAGAGTCATGTATGATTACCTTTTGACTAGAGGCCTTTTCGCTTGTCATGGTTAATAAAGTTTAGCTATTATGTTTGAAATTTTTGAAAGTATGTGGAGACGTACTATAAATATCAATGTTCTTGAATATCTGATGGAAGTATTATCATGCTTTGCTAATTTCTCTAATTTTGTATTTCCAATAAAAACCCTATTGTTGATCTTCATGTTGATCTCTTTTATAGATTCCTAAAAATATCAATGGCCTCATTGAATATAGAGCGCATCCTTTCTGGCTTCAAAAGTATTTTCCTTCTCATGAGGTCGATTGTACTCCATGATGTTGCAGTTGTGAAAGAATGGAGGTCAGTCAATTTACTTCTTGCAAAGACGACTTCATTATAGGCTGTGAATTATGGATTTGTATCCATTCAAAACCTTAATTTAAGAATTGATATTTTTTGTTAGTGTTTTTCTTTTTTAGCTCGCTTGACAAGTGCATGTCCTTCATTAGCATGATGGCTTATTTCATTTCATTCAAATTTTCATTTAACTTCTGTCCGGTTCAACTTTACTTTGGAGCATGTATCACTGAGGTATTATTTGCTGCTATAGTTTCTTTTCTGTTTAATTTCATATGAATTTTCAGGCAAGAGATACAAAATATGTGGCCCTTGATGATGGGAGGAAGCTATGTCTAGAATGTTTGGATTCTTCAATAATGGACACCAGTGAATGCCAGCCTCTTTATCTGGATATACAAGAATAGAGGATCACCATTGGTTTCCACTTAAGGTGAAGATTTGAGTGTTTTTTGAAGTGACTGGAACTTGGAAACCTCCATTTGACATTTGAATTTTTTTTTCTTTTAAGGCTTGTCAATGCATCATCAAATCATTGATGGTGTCTTTTAATCTTGTTTCCTCAACTTTCTTTATGAAAAGCAGATTAGTTTTCGACATTTTCAATCGTAAGCAATTTGTGGGTTTTTTCGCGCTCTTTTTGTTCTATATCAAGAATTATATGCATGGAAAAGTGTATTTGTATCCGGCTATCAACTGCGATATCCTGCACCTGATAACAATCGGGTCATAGGTTCTTGTATATAATCTGTAGTCTTCTGTTTTTTTAAGTAATTGATTACCCATTTGAGTTAGGATTCTAAATGGAACTGAAAGTCTTGGTTCTTGTTTCCCTTTCTAATCTTTTGTTTTGTGGCCCTATCTATAATAACCTTATTTTTCACACTTCTAATGTAACTCCTATCTTCATTGTTTTTTACTGGCTCAGATAATTTTTATGTTCCCTTTCTGTCTCCCTTCGCTGAGGAATTCAACTTGATTACCCAGTCATTTAATTGTAAAATTTAGAAAACATTACAGATTTCTTTTCTTTTTGAACAGATTATTGACGGGGTCCATATTGGCACACGAGATGATGCATGCTTGGCTGTGGCTTAAAGGTACTTTATCGAATAAATTCACATCATTTGGTGCATAAAAGCTCAGATAGTATAATACAGATAACTTGTCACTCACGCTGGTAGGTGTTAACTAGCAATTAAATTCCATATAGTAGTTCAATAACCGATAGAAATAACTTGCAAAAATTGCAGAGAGACTTAGTCAGAGAGGTTTTTTTGGATCTATTGGGGTTAAAAAAAATTGAGGCATGGTAGTTGCAATTACCTAGTTGCATGACTAGGTAATCATTTTTTGTAAAATCTCTTATATACTTTTATGATTGACTACTTGCACTAAAAAATATGAATTTTACTTAATAAAATAATATTTGCTTAATTGATATATCTTAATTATGTGATTTTTTTTTAAAATTTTTCAGGTTATCCATGCAAGATTAGGAGAGGTGGGGTAGCTCGAGTCTTCTTTTGACAATGATTAAAGATGAAAGAATGTGTCTTCCCCAAACTTTTATTTTAATTTGTTATAGATAGTTTCATGTATTTTTTTTGGAACAATTAGGATATTAACTCTTGT